TCGCCTTTTGGCGACTATCAGAGAAAAAATGGTCGCCAAGTGCAAAAATGCAGTCGCCAGATAGTACAAGAACAGAAATCAGATTAGAGCTTCATTCAATTGGTGTTGTTGTTCAGCTTCTGGTGAATTGTGGCTGCGATTGTGGGGTAGACCAAAATACTCGATCTTGAATGACTTAAAACATGAAAACACAAAAGAAGAAACTCCAAAAGACTTTTGCATGACAATCTTACCTTAAGCAGTAAGTGAGAAAAGTAATAAGAACATTTCGGGGCTACTTTAGCAAGGAAAATATGTCACATCAATGCAAGAAATTGTACAATACAAAGGCATCAAACATTTATCAAACATGGTGGATAGGCATTAGTACCAAACCTCCTGTTCTCAATGGATTAATTTTAAATTCAGAAGCTTTTCAACAAAATATTGCACCCGTGATCACCACGAAGAAGCCACTGTAATATGTCGTCTCAGAAGACGCAATTTGAAAGCCATTTCAAGGTTTAGCTTAAAGGTAAACAGACTTAATTTGCATTTCCTTTGGCAGAAAAGTAGAAACGAGACTTAAGAAATTTTTCTCATCTACAATCTTTTATTTATCAGAGGAAGTTAGTTTAGTCGCCAAAGTGGCGACTAAATTCGAACGTTTAGTCGCCAAGTTAAAAGTTTTGGTCGCATTGGCGACCGTATCAGTCCCAATTTCTAGCCCTGTCTGTGCTCTGCCAATGTAGTAATTGGTGAAGTAATCTACTGCGGAGAACTTGTCTACTGTGATGTTGGGCTCAGGGATCCTTTGCAAGATTCTTCTGTGCAGGTTATATGGCATTCCAAGCCTAAATTCTGGAAAGCATGGTTCTTTGTATAATTTTTTGGCCATGCCATTATCATAAAAAATTAACATTTATAAATATTATGGAATAGCTTATTAGCACCAAAAGAGCAATAAGGTGTTACATTCACACATAAGGTCCTTAAACTTGCATGTTATATCAATACAATACCTGAAAACCATTATTTTTTACCATATCCCCAATTTGTAATGTCCACAACAATTTTCTGTAATGTCCACAATGCATGTTTTTATTTACTGCAAACACACAAAGCTATTCTGGGTGATTTTTTCAACAAAGTTGTAAACTTTCATCTTTAGGGAACATTTTAACCATTTTACAAGTTTATACCTTTTAACAATTCACAGGAAAGTGGAATTAAAAATGATCAGAATTATTGGTTGATTTTTTGTAATGTCCACAACACACATTTTTTGATTTATATCTTCGCAAGGAAAATACACAAGTAATTTCTTTTTTCCCAAAAATATGAGGGAGGACCATTAGTTTCTAGGCCCAAACAAAAATAATCCGAAAGTTATATTTCTAAGCACTTAAGAGAGAGATCAAATGACAATTTTAGCTTCTGAACGTAATGTCCACAA